GGACATAATCCATAAAAAAAGAGGGGATAGCGTTGGCAACGTTCAAAAGTTCCTAGGATCCATAAATTCATTTCTCAAGGTTAATATCATTGTTAGACGGGAAAATGCACAACAGAGGTGTAGAATTGTGACAGATTAATGTCACGATGTCAAAAGTAAACATAGCAGGAGTGAATGACAAGTTATGGAGACAGAGGTTAATACCAAATTTTGTTAATTGGTAGTTTCCTCGGATTATTTTATGGAAGAAGAAGAAGAAGGTTAGTATTAAATGTTAAAAGTCGTGAATTTCAAATAACGTTTGCATCGAGTTCATGAGCGTGAAAATAAACAGTGCGACTGACTTCACTGCAAGTCGCATTATATATAAATTAATGTTTAATACGCAAGATCGTATATCATCAAGCGCTAAGCTTAAAATAACGGCGAGGTGGATTTAATCTAATTGCATGTAATGTATTGCATTTCAGGAGAGAAAAGTGACTGATACTCAAGAGCAGTCTGTGTACATATATACTTGGAGCAACAATGGAATTGAGTCATAGTCTGACCTTCAACGAGGATGCTCTTGATGAAGTTCACGCGAGTCCAAATGAGCAATTTTAATCTGCGAGTGATCATGCTTCTAGACAAAGTTCTGGTCGATGCTCAAAAGGTATGGATATCGGGTGTATATCAGTTGGACACACGGGGCAATTGGACACAGTCCAATCAAAAGTCGCTGTTCCAAGGGACCCTACAAATGTCTCTAATCACACGGTGCTGATTGGTTGTGTCCAAATGCACCGTGTCCAAGTGCACCGCTTCTATGGGTATCACAGTTTGACATTTGCAAATATAGAAAATTTGTAATCACAAATCTTATATGCTGTATAGTTTTACTGACTAAAATAATTATGCTAAATATGTGTATTTGCAGAACGATATTAAAGAACGCCAACAGAAGATAACAGAAGTTGGAACAGCTGACCAGACATATGCAAAGAGCTCCTGGTTCATCCATATCATCTGACGTTTACCAATACCAAGGTGCCTAGTGGCTTTATTCAGTGGCCTGGTTTACATCGTACACTTGATACGCGTACTAAATAGTAACTTTCTATTAGATAATCTTAATATTGACAATGCATATCAGCGGCGATGCGTTTAATCAATATGTTTTCTTGATGAGTATTATATCAGCATAATATACTGTTGTTTATATATATCATCGATATTAAAATTATCTAATAGAAAGTTACTATTTAGTACGCATATCAAGTGTACGATGTAAACCAGGCCACTGAATAAAGTCGCGAGGCACCTTGGTATTGGTAAACGTCAGATGATATGGACGAACCAGGAGCTCTTTGCATATGTCTGGTCAGCTGTTCCAACTTCTGTTATCTTCTTTTGGCGTTCTTTAATATCGTTCTGCAAATACACATATTTAGCATAATTATTTTAGTCAGTAAAACTATACAGTATATAAGATGTGATTACAAATTTTCTATATTTGCAAATGTCGAACTGTGATATCCATACCTTTTGAGCATCGACCAGAACTTTGTCTAGAAGCATGATCACTCGCAGATTAAAATTGCTCATTTGGACTCGCGTGAACTTCATTAAGAGCATCCTCATTGAAGGTCAGACTATGACTCAACTCCATTATTGCTCCAAGTATATATGTACACAGACTGCTCTTGAGTATCAGTCACTTTTCTCTCCTGAAATGCAATACATTACATGCAATTAGATTAAATCCACCTCGCCGTTATTTTAAGCTTAGCACTTGATATACGATCTTGCGTATTAAACATTAATTTATATATAATGCGACTTGCAGTGAAGTCAGTCGCACTGTTTATTTTTACGCTCATGAACTCGATGCAAACGTTATCTGAAATTCACGACTTTTAACATTTGGTACTAACCTTCTTCTTCTTCTCCTTCTTCCATAAAATAATCCGAGGAAACTACCAATTAACAAAATTTGGTGTTAACCTCTGTCTCCATAACTTGTCATTCACTCCCGCTATGTTTACTTTTGACACCGTGACATATAACCTGTCACAACTCTACACCTCTGTTGTGCATTTTCCGTCTAACAATGATATTAACCTTGAGAAATGAATTTATGGATCCTAGGAACTTTTGAACGTTGCCAACGCTATCCCCTCTTTTTTTATGGATTATGTCCGCTTACCATCAATGTACGTTGACATTATCGACTGTTTTTGCCCTTTTGATAACAGCAGTATGAGAAATTCATATAGCATTAAACAACTTCTTTTGAAAAGTCCTCACGAAATAAAAGCATAATTTATTAATTATTAATAAATAACGCAAACTCAGTAGATTAAAGAAAACTTTCCATTATAATTTCGCTTGATAATACAACAAACTGCAATTATTCAGGTGAGTTCAACTTTTGATTTTTGTTATTCAGACATAGTTCTTGTTTATTTAGGATATTTATAATAACAATTAGTATACCAATTTATAATCGTAGAAAATAAAACCCGTTGGAATCATGTGTATGTCTCAATCTTCAACATAATCCATTTTCTTTCCCAGAAATTTAATGCAGTCCAATATTCACACAGTTATTACAACCATATATCATGCGGGATTAGAAGAAATTGATAAAAGTTCAATCAGGCTAACTATATATTATCATTAGAACATCAAATAATTACCAGAAAATCATCAAAGATTATAATTACATATACTTAACAGATATTGTAAATAATCAATTATTGAGCCATAGCAAAGTCATCCTACAAATTATATTCATATTATGAATTACACCAAAGTCTTTAACACTCTCTTTATTTTCTCCATGCAATAGTTATCCTGATTGATTTAGTTCCTTCATGTTGTACATGTGACATCAGAGACAAAAATGAAGAATGCTATACATTATTCCGTTTTATTAATAATAGGTAGGGGATGGGGACTGCTCTCCGGTCCTTACACGCCTTTTAGGTGAACAATGTACGTCATAAATTGTTTGTTCGCGCTTTTAGTTACACGCATCCCGATGATCGTCCTTGCACATTGAGCTCCGCAGACGAAACAGAAAATTCCCTCGCAAGGCAGCTTGTGAACAGTTCCTCTCGAAATAATATTCGTGTCGCCGACCCCTAATGCAATTATATTACAATTTCGTCTCCCCACGCTTTAGAGGAGACTCCTCGTACGTGGCGAATGTCTCGTACGTGGTGAACGTCGTACATCGCGCCGACAATTCAGATAAATTGAGCGAGATAAAGTAGATAAGTGAAAAAGAAACGTTTTAACGAGAAATTCTCTAGAGAAAGAACTAATTTACAAATTGCAAGGTTCGTTCTGCTTCCTCATCTTCTGTATTCATTTTACTTTCTTCTCATTTCTTCTAACAACGGTAAAAATTTACCTAAAAAATGGTAAAAAGCAACGAATACATATATATATTTCTCTCTCTCTCTCTCTCTCTCTCTCTCTCACTCGGGATTAAAAAAATCTGTTTTATAAACCTAAGCTTTCGGCAGTTGCGTGTAATAGTATCAGACGTGAATTCAACCTTGCAGAACGAACTATCAATAATTTTCAATTGATCTTTTCCAACTAATTTCTCGTGATCAAACAATCCAATTTATTTCTGTCAGAAGGAGAAAATCAGGCACAACCGATGCGACTGATCGATCAACTCGGCGCAAATCATTCGGTCGCTCCCACGCTGAGCGAATCACGAAAATATATTGTGTATAAAGTTCGTCCAAGAATATAGTGCGTTCTCGTAACCGAGTTCGAGTAACCGTTGTTTGAGGATGCTGATACGCTGAACACGGCTCACGAATACGTCACATTATCTTACATGCACTAACCCAACCGGCAAGTGATCCTCATTGTTCACACAGGTTCACATCACTGTCGAGTCTTGGCGGAAACAATACTCCACGTTCGCGCGCGCGCGCGCGCGCAACACCGTGTACATCAAAGTACAAGAACACAAAGCGCTAATTCGCAGTTCCAGAGGATCTTCCTCAGTAATTGTCCCTACCCCTAGCATTTCTCGACTGTTCGTTATCGCGTCCTCTGCCGCGATTGTTATAGCCACTTCTACCCATGTTGTCGCCACCGCCACCGCTGCCCCGACTCATGCCGCGGTTAGGTCCATTTTTGCCGGCATATTTGCCGTAATTGGAGTTAAAGTTGTTTAGTTGACTTGGCGGGTTCTGCCCGCGGAAGTTTGGCCCGAAACCTGGCCTATCGAAGCTCAATGGACCACCGTTTGGACCACGAAAATTGGGTGGACCCTGAAAGCCATTCCCAAACGGTGGTGGCGGTGGACCCTGATTCGGACCGAACGGCGGCAGCGGACTTGGTCGGAAATGATTCGGCCCGAAGTTTCCGTTCGGCGGTGGTCGGAAGTTCGGCCCAAAACCTGGATGCATGCTGGGATGGTGTGGTATCATGTGCGGCGGCATCGGGCCGTCCGGCAAGCCAGGCATACCAGGGTGCAGCGGTGGTTTGCCCTGCATGCCAGGGTGCTGTGATAAGCCAGGATGCGGCACCAGGCTCGGTAGCGGCGATGGCATATTAGGGTTGATGTTCTGCATGTTATGGTGATTCGGCATTCCGTGGGGCATACCACCACCTACCATATGGTGTATACCGGGACCTCCTATCGCACTTAGATTGTCCCGCTTGTCGAAACCATTACCGCCGAACACGCCGCCGTCCGACGATTTACGTTGTGGTCCGTCGCTGCTCTTCTCGTCGTCCCATCGACCGATGCTGTCGCGGTCCCGATCATCGTAGATATCGTTGTTGTCCAGCGATTTCTTCGGGGGGAAGCGGAAGTCCTTGTCGGTGAAGCTGTTACGCGAGTCGTAATCGCCGTGTGAACCACCAGGTCTGCCGAGTCCCGCAGTTAAGCTGAACCTTAAGTCTTCATCGCGACCGCTTATAGAATCACCGCCGCCATGAGGTGGTCCTCCTCTTCTGTGATGATCTTCGTCTTGACCGTGGAAGGAATTATTGTCCGCAGACAAGGCGTTCGGCTTGCCGAACCTCAGATCGGTGTCGCTGGACTGCGAATCTTCCGTCATCATACCGCCGAACACCGGTTGATGAATCTTCGACGTACGATCGCTAGCTCCACCGTCACTCCACCCTATCAGTTGATCGAACTTGCGCTTACCGCCTCGATTCAGGGTCTTTAATAGTTCAGGGTTCTGCGCGAACTTTGAGCTAGGTAGAGGCGGCGGTAGATCTACATCTGGCACTTTGGAATAGTCGATCTCACCGTCATCCTGCAAATATTCTTCGGCCTCGTCCACGCTATCTGGTGGACCTACCACGTCTCGCAGCTCCTCTATTTCTCCGGAGAAGACTAACTTATTTATAGCCTCGTTCCCTTTACTGATCGCCTCCGCTAACTTGGAACCCTCTGTTGAACATAGTTAAGATTAATGCTTAATAATCGTGCATTTGATTAAATTATTTATAATGCCTAGTAAATCATGGTACCAAGAGGCAATCTCTGTTCGCCGATTGTACCACTATTCCCTCTCTCTCCCTCCCTCTCTCCTCTCTCTCTCTCTGTGTGTGTCTCCTTTGTCGCCTACTCTGTCTTTTATTGTTACAATATATTATAAAATTCACTCACGTTCTACAGGAATCATTTTTCCGTACAAAATGATAGCGTCGGGTGTAACTTCGTTCAATGGCACGGCACCGGGCGTAGTCTCGAGTAACTGATTCACAAACGCGTTCAAAGCTTCGACTTGCTCGATATCTTCGGCTTCCATCTCGTTCCATTGCGCTTGGAAGTTCCGTGGTATAGGCTTGCTGTACGGAACTTTCTTGTTGGCGAATTTCTTACCCTCATCTACTGCATGATCCAGATCCAATCCCGGAATTCCTCCGCTCTTGTCCTCGGATTCACCATCGGCGTTGATTCTGTCTTCTGGTCCCATGCCAGGTATTACCGCCGCTTCATCGGCTACAAGAAATAAATTTACATTTCATATAAACAATTACATTATGATTTCTTTTTTCGTTATTAGTATACTTTGTCAAGTTATTCTAATACTATTTTCTTCGAAGTCATCTGTTTCGTATGAGTGTGTGTGTGTGTGTGTGTGTGTGTGTGTGTGTGTGTATATATATATATATATATATATATATATATATATATAT